TGACAAAAACAGGAAAAATTGATTGATCACTGTGGCATTATTAATAATTTACTCTATTGTTCTTATTGTTGCAGTAGTATTTTTTCTTTTTCTTTTGTTTTCTTTCCCCTTTCTGGTATTTTTGAGACAGGGCTTTTCTGTAGCTTTAGAACCTGTCCTGGAACTACCTCTTGTAGACCAGGCTGACCTCAAACTCACAGAAATTCACCTGTCTCTGCCTCCCGAGTGCTGGGATTAAAGGTATGAGTCACCATCACCTGGGGGTATTGTTTCTGAATAAGGTTTTAAAAATCAGAACCTCTCTGTTTGGGGTCATAGTTGAGCACTGTGAGATTTTGCACTGTATTTGCTGCCAGTCAATAATGTGATGCTGTGGCTCGCTTTCTTTGTTGTTATTATGAGAGTGGAAATGTTATTTGCAGCTCTAAGCTGTTCATATCCATTGTCACTACCAAAAGTAGGTGGAAGCAAGAATGGTGGCACACGCCTTTAGTCCCAATACTCCGGAGGCAGAGGCAAGTTGATCTTCGAGAAATCCTGTCTCGACAAGGAAAACAACAAACAAACAAAACAGTGAAGTATATGGGGAGTTTGCAGAAGTTGCTCTTACTGATATTTTTTCTTAGATGAAAACCACTAAAGTAATAAAAAGCTGCAATGATACTAGCAGTTAAAGAACACTCTTGTTTTATTGTTAATTTTTTATATTTAATCATTTTATATATGTGTGTGTATACACACACATACATACATACATGCATTCATGTGTGTGTGCATATGTGGTACCAACAGAGGACAGAAGATGTCATTGGGTCCTTTGGAACTAGACTTAGAGGAAGTTGGTTGTGAGCCATCATGTGGGTACTGGAGACTGAACTTGAGTCTTCTGCAAAAGTAGTAAGTGCTCTTAACCTTTGAGCCAACTCTCCAGCTCTGATTTATTTATTTGGAGACAGGGCTTTGTTATTGTCCAGGCTGGCCTCCAAATCAAGATCCTCCCACCTTAGCTTCCTGGAGTCCTAGGATTGCTGGCATGCACCACCACTCCAGGCCTAAATAAAACTCTTGGTGTGATTAATATTTGTTCCTGTTTCTAAAGCATACTTTATAAACGACTTGTAAGGGCATATCACGTCATTATGGTAGTGATAGGAGACGGCCAGGAAGACCATTAAGTTCATTGATTGGTCTCATTTATACAAATACAGATTGGTTTTTCTCGTCTGAGATGAGTCTCATATATCTCAGGCTGGTCTCATTGTAACCAAGGATGACCTTGAACAGATGCCCTGCCTTTACCTTCTGACTGCTGGGATTACAGTTGTGAACTACCATACTCATTCATTCATTCATTTATTTATTTTACCAAAATCAAAACCCAGACTTAGGGTCTTTTTTTTTTAAGTTTATTTATTTATTTAGTATACAGTGTTCTGTCTACATGTATGCCTGCAGGCCAGAAGAGGGCACTAGATCTCATTATGGATGGTTGTGAGCCATCATGTGGTTGCTGGGAATTGAACTCAGGTCCTCTGGAAGAGCAGTCAGTGCTCTTAACCACTCTCTCCAGCCCCCCAGACTTAGGGTCTTAAAGTAAGAGATAGAACACATGCCTTTCCAGGCATGAATGTTACAATAATTCTAACATGTTTCAAAGCTACTAATTGTCTGTACAGAGATTACTTGAGTATGGAATATTGCATGTAATTGTCCAAAAGAGCCAATAAACCTGTCACTCATATGTGGTTGCTTTATATAGTGTTTCGGCATTTTTGGAATTTAAAGTATGTGATTAATAGAGTAAAGAATTTGAATGTATCTGTTGATTCAGGTATGGTGCTTCACACACGTACTTGAAGGCACTAGGGAAATGAAGGCAGGACTTCAGTGTTCAAGGTCAACCTCAGCCACATAGTGAATTTGAGACAGATTAGGTGACTTGTAACCACGTCTCAAATAATAATAATGATGATAATAGCATTTATTGAGCACCTACTGAATTCCAGACTCTGTTGTAGGTGTTCCTATGAGAAAAGTCTAAATAGCCAATAATTTCTGTTCTTGTGAAACTTATATTACTTATAATAAGTAATAAACAGTAAATAATGTATTTAAAATGTTAAAAAGTGGCGGAAGAATAGGACAGGATAAGAGCATTAAGAAGGGACTCAACTACAACAAGTAGAAATGGCTCACGTACATTAATATCTACTGTGAGTCATGTCCGGCAGCCTCAGTCTCTTGAAGGCCTATCTGCTTTCTTAAAAGTGTGTGTGTGTGTGTGTGTGTGTGTGTGTGTGTGTGTGTGTACATGATCGTGCATGTGCGTACGCACACTATGGTAGGAAGCACATACCATAGCATACATGTGAAGGTCAGAGTACAACTTTGTGGAGTAGGTTCTCCCTTTCCTCCCTTGCTTGGGATTATGGGAGTAATCTCTTTTTATTGGACTTGCTTGGCTGTTGGCAAGGACTTTTTATCTGTCAAGTCATCTTGCCAGGCCTTGAAGGCCTCCTGGTAATGACTCTGGGACCTGCATGATACTCTTCTAGGTGGTCTCTGAATCTGGTGTCTAGTCTATCCAGAAAGATTGACCCTGCCCACTCCACTACCCTAAGAAGAGGATGAACTATGGTAGTCCCATCCTAAATCTTGGCACTTAGAAATCATGAACCCATTCTTGGGCACATGGACTACAGGACCTCCAGCTGGCCTGTGGTTGCTCAAATCATAACCTTATTAATATGAAGTCTCTCCTTCTTGCCTCCCAGCTCTTACTTCATCTCTGGTCATAACATGTTTTTCTACCTTGCAGTGTCATGGACTTTCTGTGGAAGGTTTTGTTCTTCCTTCTTCAACCACAAGGGAGGTAAGATTCTGTCCTTTACATATACATGATGGAAAGCTCGCCTGTCTGAAATATTTCAGTTATCAATTATGAAATTGATATTTATTGAATTTATATTATTGAAACTAAATATATCAGTTAGTTGTCAAAGAAACAGACTTATCCTTTTATGAATCAATTATAGTGGTATATTATTTGTGTTTTAATAAATAAAGCTTGCCTGAAGATCAGAGGGCAAAGCAGTCATACTAGTGAGCCATACAGGCCAGGCAGTAGTGGCGCACACTTTTAATCCCAGGACTTGGGAGATAGACACAGGGATCTCTGTGTCAAGGTCACCCTGGGCTATATGAGATTGAATCTATCTAAAAGAGAAACAGAGCTCACACAGCATTTGGGATCGCACACCTTTAATCCAGCACTAAGGGGGTGGAGAAAGGAGCAATATGGCTGGGCAGAGAGAGGAATATAAAGGGGAAGACACAGGAACTCAGTGGAGTCTGAGCATTGTGGTCTAGAGCACTGCAGGATCACCCCTTTGTCTGAGCCTTGGTAGAGGTAAGATCTCTCTAGTGGCTGGCTGCTTTGCTTTTCTGATCTTCAGCTTGAATCCCAGTATCTGTTTCTGGGTTACTACTCATGCTGCAGTCAATTGACTATAAAATGCATGAAGGAGGTAAAAATGGAATGGGAATATTAGACAATAATAATATGGTTCTAGTTTTGCTGAGCGAGCATGAGGACTTGAGTTTGCATCCCCAGCACCCATGTAAAATAAAAATGGGCATGGCTGTGCAAGCCTGTAATGCCAACTCAGATGTAGTGACAGGTGCATTGCAGGTGCTTGCTGGCCAGTTAGTCTAGCTGAAATGGAATACTCCAGGTTCAGTGAGAGACCCTGCCTCAAAAAAAAAGATGGAAAACAATTAAGAAAAGCATCTCATGTCAGCTTCTGGCTTCCACATTTACCCACCTACATACATGTATATAACAGACACATACACACCATAAACATGGATAATTATTTGTTTTATTAATAAGAATAGCTTTTTGCAGTGACTAAGTTTTTTCTACGTGAGACTGGAAGTTGGAGAAGGCAAAAAGGCTACAAACATAAGAATGAATGGCTTCCTATATTGTCTCATCTATTTCACCCCAACCTTTCTCCAATAGGATACTTGTAGACCTGTGCTGATATTGACATCTAATCATATTTTAGAGCAGTGGTTCTCAACCTTCCTAATGCTACCACCCTTTAATACAGTTCCTCATGTTGTGGTGACCCCCAACCATAAAATCATTTTTGTTGCTATTTCATAATTGTTATTTTGTTAGTTATGAATTATAATGTAAATATCTGTTATGTGACCCCTGTAGTAGACTTTCTTGGACTGCCAGCCCCCAAGTCATGGCATGGAGACTTATTATTAAGTATGAATGCTAAAGCCTTAGTTTATGCTTGTCCCACTAGCTCTTGTAATAACCTGTTTCTCTTCATCTGTGTTTTGCCTCAGGGCTTTTTACCTTTCTTTCATTCTGTATGCCCTACTTTCCATGCTTCTGCATCTGGCTGGCTGGTGATGTCTGACTGGGTGGCCCTGATGTCTCCCTCTCTTTCTCCATAATTCTCATTCTTTCCCTACTTTCCTCTCCCTCCTCTATCCTCCCTCTCCCTCTTCTTTCCTCCTCCATCTCCGTCCTCCCACTCCCTCCTCCCTCTCCCGTCTCCATCCTCCCTCTCCTTCTTTCCTCCTCCGTCTCCGTCCTCCCACTCCCTCCTCCCTCTCCCTTCTCCATCCTCCCTCTCCCTCTCCTTCTTCCCTCCTCCGTCTCCGTCCTCCCACTCCCTCCTCCCTCTCTCTCTTTCCTCCTTTCTCTTCCTCCTCTCTCTCCCTCTCCAGCCTAGATCTCTCCTCCTACTTATTCTCTCTGCCTGCCAGTCCTGTCTGTCTCTCTTCTGCCTAGCTATTGACTGTTCAGCTTTTTATTAGACCAATCAGATGCCTTGGGCAGGCAAAGCAATACATCTTTACACTGTTAAATGCAGCATAAACAAATATAACACACCTTCACATAGTTAAAGTAATATTCCACAACAGAGCCCTCCCCAAGGTCACTACCCACAGGTTGAGAACCTCTGTATTAGAGTAACTTTCTTTCCCAACTTAGTGAATTAGAGTTTCCAGAGAGGAAACTTGAGCATTTGTAATTTTTTAATCTATAGACTAACACTGATAAATAATCATGGTTGGAAGACATTGCCATGAAACACAGACACTGGTTATCAGATGTTTTGGTATTTTGTACTAACAAGCTAGGACTAGTAAGTTTAGAAAATATAAAATTCTCAAAAACTGGTGGTGGTGCCAGTATCAGCTGGATGTGCCAGGACTGAATGCTAGTGTAATGTCTTAGACCTCTACTGTTGCATACAAGCCGTTTGTGTAATAAAGAATGCCACACTGCCTGCGTAAACAGGTGTATTCTGTGCATTTAAACAGTGTTGAAATATTAATTGTAAAAATGTAAACCTAATACCTTTAGGAGTCTTCAAAGAACTTTCACATTATTTAATTTGATTTTTCAGTTCAATTTTGTAAGACACCTAAGAAGAGAATGTCTTTCTCAGAAAGTTTATAGATAAGGAAACAAGCTTAGAGATTTCCAAGATATGCAAAGTCATTTGCTCCTGATACAAGTTTTTAACCTGTCTTTAGACTCCAAATATACTTGCTTCTATAGAATATAAACAATACAATTTTACCAAAAAGCATTTCTCCATCTACTTTACCCCAAAATAACTGCAGTTAAAATTTTTTAAATTTTTAAAATGTGCATGAGGGTTTTGCCTGCATGTAGGTATGTGCACCACATGCATGCCTGGTCCCTGTGGAAGTCAGATGGAGTTGTAAGCCACCTGAAATGGTTGATGGAATTGAACTCAGGCTCTCTGGAAGAGCAATCAGTGCTCTCTTAACCACTGAGTCATCTCTCCAGCCCCATAACTGCATTTCTTAAGGTCCGTTTTATTCTAACAGTCTGTAGCTACTTCACATAATTCTACTCATTATACACACACACACACACACACACACACACACATATCATTTCAAGTTTGACTTCAGTGCTTTCTCTCTGGGTCATAGATTTAGTGTCATAAATAGCTTCATAAAGCCTCATGAAGTTACTATAGTATGTCATAATTTATGTATTTATTGCCATGTTTAGGTTATGTCAAGTTTCACATGTGTGACTGATGCTACCATAAACATTAGTACACATGGAGCTTTTTCTTCTCTGGATTATTTCCTTAGGACAAACTCCCATAAATGATATTCTGGGTTAGAGGGCATTGATACTTTTTTTTGGCATTGATACTTTTATGACTCTTGTTATACATTACCAGATTGTGCCAATTTACACCATTTCATTAAAGGGCTGCAGTTACCGGACTTTTTACTGCTTTTCAAAGAAAAGGTTTTCTAGAAATTGATTTTCACTTTTTCTATCACAGATGACCCCAGGCGAGATTAAATTCTCTGTCCATGTGGAGTCTGTCCTGAATCGTGTACCTCAACCAGAGTACCGCCAGCTTCTGGTTGAAGCTATCCTTGTCCTTACCATGCTGGCAGATATTGAAATTCATAGCATCGGAAGCATCATTGCTGTGGAAAAAATAGTACACATTGCCAATGACTTGTTCCTTCAAGAACAGGTAGGCTGCCTAATGTGATGCACACTGCAGTCACAGCATCTGGGAGTTGCAGGCAGGAGGATTGGCAGTTCAAGGCCAGCCTCAGCTACATAGTGAGTTCAAGACAAGATTGGGCTACATGATACCCAGAACATACAACAAATGTTTCCTTCTCTTACCCACTGTGAAAGAAGACAAAAGTATCCAAAATTTTCTAAACAGTCCTAGTTTTAAGTGTTCTGGGATGTTATCAGGCCATATATGAGAAAATATAAACCATTTTAGACATAGACTTGAGATTTAGAATGTCTACAGTGTTTGTGAATTCAGGTGGTTTAGAAAGAAATAGAACCAAATACTATATGGAGGAATACAAGCCAAAATCAGCAGTACTAGAAGGTGGAAGTCCCGGTGTAGTTCTACTGGGTTATCTCCAAGTGTTAACATTATTTCTGTTATTAACAGACATAAATCATTTAATCAATTATTGATATTTAATTTTCAAAAGTGCTTTATAATAGAAAATTCTAAGTAGTAATTAAAATAATTTAGAGTCTAGTGGCAAATGCCATGTGTAGAAATTCATATCCATCCTTCATAACCCTAAGCCCCCTCTGCTTATACAGCCAAAGAATAGGCAATGGGAAGGAAGCTCTGAGGTGTATTCATCAGAGTTTGGCTTGGTAGGATTGGTAACCTTTTCTTCCCACTGTTTTCCCATCTTTTAAAACCAAATAGAAAACCCTTGGCGCAGATGACGTCATGTTGGCAAAGGATCCTGCATCTGGCATCTGTACTCTTCTGTATGACAGCGCACCCAGTGGCAGATTTGGCACAATGACCTACCTCTCCAAGGCAGCTGCTACCTACGTGCAGGAGTTTCTGCCACACAGCCTCTGTGCCATGCAGTGAGGGCTGTGGGTTCTGGCTGCTGGAATCCTTTCAGCATCTGGTCCCTGTGTTGGTTGATTGTGCATGGAACTGAAATGTTAACACCTGACCACTCTCCATCCCTCCCAAGAAGAGAGAACTTTGCTGATAATCTCACTACTTTTGAAGAAAAGAACCCTCACTTGGAGACTCACTCCAGTGTAAAGGTTCAACTGGGTCTACAATCACTATCCTTGCTTCTTTTATGGTTCAGAAATGTCTGCATGTGTTTTTACTCTGTAGAACTGTTACCAGCTTTGTTTTCTAACTCCTTTTGAGGAACAGGTATTAATAAGTTATTCTGAAGACCTTATTCTTATTTCTGGGCTTCCTTTCTTTTTTGTGTATATGAGTGGTAGGTCTTAATTGGGTCATTATTTCAAGAGAGTAGATGCTAAATTGTTGGATTTTATACTGCTGTAATTTTGAAATGTCTATTTTAAGTGCCTTAAGAAACACCAACACCAGATCATGGCTTCCTTCTTCACTCGAAGGCTGATTCATTTTGAGTGGTGAAATAGTTTCTTTGTCAAATATTGCCTTTTGATGTTGACCTTTCTATATCTGCCCATGTTGCCTGCTCTGTGGTGAAATATTAAAAAGTGTAAGCTCACATGTAAGTTTAAGGATTTCTATGTTAATACTTGAAGTCACATTTTATGAGGACTGATGCTACCAGGCACATATTTGAGGACACATGGAATAACCCAGAAAAAAATGGAGCCAGGAGCCCAATTCCAGAGAGGAAGGGAAAGGGGAGGTTATGCAGGTGGTGCTTTACACACAGGGAGTCAAGAGACCACCAGAGGCAAGTAGGTTAATCCTTGCTGGAGCACAGCCCACATACAACACAGAGAATAACTGAAGCCTTGAGCAAAGAGAAACCCAGCAGTCCAGTCGGAGCACCTCTTTCCTGTTCTTTTGTTCTCCACCTCACCTATTCACACCCCGCCACACTCAAATCTCTCCTTCTCATCTCCCTCCTATCCCATATCTGTTCTTCAATTCTTTCACCTATGTTTGTTTTCACTTCTCAGTTATACTACTTATATCCTTTAATCTTGGTATCTGTGGCCAAATATCTATTCTTATACATATTTCTGTGTGTTTGTAATGGTTAAATAATTGTATTTTGAGTGTGTCTGTCCATCTCTACATTTAATGGATTGAATAACCATGTGGGTAACATTGCAAACCAAGCCTGGTCATACTCATTGCTAATCTGAGAACTTGAGAGGCTGAAGCAGGAGGATCGTGAGTTCAAAGCCAGCCTGGGCTACAAAGCAAGCTCCAGGCAAGCCTCAGTATGAGACCCTGTCTTGAAACATTTTAAAGCATGGGAGCTATGCAGCTGGCCTCAGATTGACACACAAAGGATCGCAAAAATATACCTTCCATCCCATTCTCTGGTCCCATGTATAGGTAGCCTGGCTTAGCAGAGGTTTTCTTTGTTTTCCTTGTTTCTACTCGACTCCTCTTTCCCTCAGAGTTTTAAGGGTTTTCTCCCAGAACAGTAATGAGTATGATGGGGCTAGTGAACTCAAAACAGTCACAGAATCGGGAACAGTCTTCCAGGCACACTGTCCAAATGCAGTGAGCTAGCAAACGGGTGGTAGAAGCAAAGGCAGGGTGGCCCCCTTTCCCCTCTCACAGCCATGGGAACACACAGTGAATAGCTTTCTGAGTGCATGGTTTTCCGGTCACTTTTGAGGAGAACATACAACCTGTTTGTCTCTTCACAGCCTATAAGTACCCTAGTCACGGGAAACACACCCAGCACTGCTTGTGGGAACTGCCGCTCCTTCCTGGACCTCTTTTCTTGAACTGACTCCAATGCCTGCAGTTCTCTGGAGTTTCTGACTTGTCTGTTGATGGAAAGCCCAGGCAGTGGCATTTAATTTCTAAAGTAACTTTCCAGAAAACATTACTGGTATTTTGTTCTTTTTTTCTTTTGTTCTTATTTTTTCGAGACAGGGTTTTTCTATGTAGCTCTTCATGTCCTGGAACTCACTCTGTAGACCAGGCTGGTCTCGAACTCACAGAGATCCGCCTGCCTCTGCCTCCCGAGTGCTGGGATTAAAGGCGTGCGCCACCACTACCTGGCTAAGTATTTTGTTCATTTTAAGAGTGTTAATATGAAGAAAGAAACATGATGGAACTTTTTACAAGCACTTTATGTTTTGAAGTTAGAATAAAGAATAAGAATTTACTGTGTCTGGTGTCACTGCACAAAACTTTATATGTTTTTGTGATTGAAGCTAATTAATTGCCATTTCACATAATGTTTGGATATATTATATACTCAAAGCTTATTAACTGGGTCAAATTAGAGGAGCATTTATAGACCATACATTATTATACCGCACATATGTAAAAAAAAAAAAACAACATAGGTTTAGTGCTTTACACAGTTTACTAAAAATATAGAGTGGATTTTTACTTCATTTCAACTCTATGAGTGGTATTTCTAAACTACTAGAAAGAACTTAAAATAGTTTGTTCTTCTAACTATTATCAGTATTTGACATAATATTGTTTAAAGTACTCATTGGTCATTTCTGTAACAAGAGAGTTCTTAATCCAGCAATGGCAAACAGCGTCTCTACGTCCCCTGATTAGATAGTTTAGTTTTACCACATTCTGAGAATTTGATGCAACTAGCATGGCAAAAGTTGTCACCTTTAGTCATGGTTCACAGAACTGTGTGCATGTGTATGTATATGTGTCTGCATGTCAGGTGCATGTGTATTATCATGCTGGTGTATGTGTATCATGCTGGTGCATGTGTATCATGTCAGGTGCATGTGTATCATGCTGGTGCATGTGAATCATGTCAGGTGCATGTGTATCATGCCGGTGCATGTATATCATGCCTGTGTATGTGTATCATGCCAGTTCATGTGTATCATGCTGGTGCATGTGTATCATGCTGGTGCATGTGTATCATGTCAGGTGCGTGTGTATCATGTCAGGTGCATGTGTATCATGCTGGTGCGTGTATATCAAGTCAGGTGCGTGTGTATCATGTCAGGTGCATGTGTATCATGCTGGTGCGTGTATATCAAGTCAGGTGCGTGTGTATCATGTCAGGTGCGTATCATGCTGGTGCATATGTATCATGTCAGGTGCATGTGTATCATGTCAGGTGCATGTGTATCATGTCGGGTGCATGTGTATCATGTCAAGTGCATGTGTATCATGTCAGGTGCATGTGTATCATGTCAGGCGCATGTGTATCATGTCAGGTGCATGTGTATCATGCTGGTGCATGTGTATCATGTCAGGTGCGTGTGTATCATGTCAGGTGCATGTGTATCATGCTGGTGTGTGTATATCAAGTCAGGTGCGTGTGTATCATGTCAGGTGCATGTGTATCATGCTGGTGCGTGTATATCAAGTCAGGTGCGTGTGTATCATGTCAGGTGCGTATCATGCTGGTGCATATGTATCATGTCAGGTGCATGTGTATCATGTCAGGTGCATGTGTATCATGTCCGGTGCATGTGTATCATGTCAAGTGCATGTGTATCATGTCAGGTGCATGTGTATCATGTCAGGCGCATGTGTATCATGTCAGGTGCATGTGTATCATGCCGGTGCATGTGTATAATGCCGGTGTATGTGTATCATGCTGGTGCATGTGTATCATGTCAAGTGCATGTGTATCATGCTGGTGCATGTGTATCATGTCAAGTGCATGTGTATCATGTCAGGTGCATGTGTATCATGCTGGTGCGTGTGTATCATGTCAGGTGCGTGTGTATCATGTCAGGTGTGTGTGTATCATGCTGGTGCATGTGTATCATGACAGGTGCGTGTGTATCATGTCAGGTTCATGTGTATCATGCTGGTGCATATGTATCATGTCAAGTGCATGTGTATCATGTCAGGTGCATGTGTATCATGTCAAGTGCATGTGTATCATGTCAGGTGCATGTGTATCATGTCAAGTGCATGTGTATCATGTCAGGTGCATGTGTATCATGCTGCTGCATGTGTATCATGCTGCTGCATGTGTATCATGCTGCTGCATGTGTATCATGTCAAGTGCATGTGTATCATGTCAGGTGCATGTGTATCATGTCAAGTGCATGTGTATCTTGCTGGTACATGTGTATCATGCTGGTGCGTGTATATCATGTCAGGTGCGTGTGTATCATGTCAGGTGCGTGTGTATCATGTAAGGTGCGTGTGTATCATGTCAGGTGCGTGTGTATCATGTCAGGTGCATGTGTATCATGTCAGGTGCATATGTATCATGTCAGGTGCATGTGTATCATGTCAGGTGCATGTGTATCAAGTCAAGTGCATGTGTATCATGTCAGGTGCATGTGTATCATGCTGCTGCATGTGTATCATGTCAAATGCATGTGTATCATGTCAGGTGCATGTGTATCATGTCAAGTGCATGTGTATCATGTCAGGTGCATGTGTATCATGCTGGTGCGTGTATATCATGTCAGGTGCGTGTGTATCATGTCAGGTGCGTGTGTATCATGCTGGTGCGTGTGTATCATGTCAGGTGCGTGTGTATCATGTCAGGTGCATGTGTATCATGTCAGGTGCATGTGTATCATGTCAGGTGCATGTGTATCATTCTGGTGCATGTATATCATGTCAGGTGCGTGTGTATCATGTCAGGTGCGTGTGTATCATGCTGGTGCATATGTATCATGTCAAGTGCATGTGTATCATGTCAGGTGCATATGTATCATGTCAGGTGCGTGTGTATCATGTCAGGTGCATGTGTATCATGCTGCTGCATGTGTATCATGCTGCTGCATGTGTATCAGGCTGCTTGTGTATGTTGTCAAGTGCATGTATATCATGTCAGGTGCATGTGTATCATGTCAGGTGCATGTGTATCTTGCTGGTACATGTGTATCATGCTGGTGCGTGTATATCATGTCAGGTGCGTGTGTATCATGTCAGGTTCGTGTGTATCATGCTGGTGCGTGTGTATCATGTCAGGTGCATGTGTATCATGCCGGTGCATGTGTATCATGCCAGTGTATGTGTATCATGCCAGTTCATGTGTATCATGCAGGTGCATGTGTATCATGTCAGGCGCATGTGTATCATGTCAGGTGCATGTGTATCATGCTGGTGCATGTGTATCATGTCAGGTGCGTGTGTATCATGTCAGGTGCATGTGTATCATGCTGGTGTGTGTATATCAAGTCAGGTGCGTGTGTATCATGTCAGGTGCATGTGTATCATGTCAGGTGCATGTGTATCATGTCAGGCACATGTGTATCATGTCAATTGCATGTGTATCATGCTGGTGCATGTGTATCATGTCAGGTGCGTGTGTATCATGTCAGGTGCATGTGTATCATGCTGGTGTGTGTATATCAAGTCAGGTGCGTGTGTATCATGTCAGGTGCATGTGTATCATGCTGGTGCGTGTATATCAAGTCAGGTGCGTGTGTATCATGTCAGGTGCGTATCATGCTGGTGCATATGTATCATGTCAGGTGCATGTGTATCATGTCAGGTGCATGTGTATCATGTCGGGTGCATGTGTATCATGTCAAGTGCATGTGTATCATGTCAGGCGCATGTGTATCATGTCAGGTGCATGTGTATCATGCCGGTGCATGTGTATAATGCCGGTGTATGTGTATCATGTCAGGTGCATGTGTATCATGTCAAGTGCATGTGTATCATGTCAGGTGCATGTGTATCATGCTGCTGCATGTGTATCATGCTGCTGCATGTGTATCATGTCAAGTGCATGTGTATCATGTCAGGTGCATGTGTATCATGTCAAGTGCATGTGTATCTTGCTGGTACATGTGTATCATGCTGGTGCGTGTATATCATGTCAGGTGCATGTGTATCATGTCAGGTGCGTGTGTATCATGTCAGGTGCGTCTGTATCATGTCAGGTGCGTGTGTATCATGTCAGGTGCATGTGTATCATGCTGCTGCATGTGTATCATGTCAAGTGCATGTGTATCATGTCAGGTGCATGTGTATCATGCTGGTGCGTGTATATCATGTCAGCTGGGTGTGTATCATGTCAGGTGCGTGTGTATCATGCTGGTGCGTGTGTATCATGTCAGGTGCGTGTGTATCATGTCAGGTGCATGTGTATCATGCTGGTGCATATGTATCATGTCAAGTGCATGTGTATCATGTCAGGTGCATGTGTATCATGTCAAGTGCATGTGTATCATGTCAGGTGCATGTGTATCATGCTGCTGCATGTGTATCATGCTGCTGCATGTGTATCATGCTGCTGCATGTGTATCATGTCAAGTGCATGTGTATCATGTCAGGTGCATGTGTATCATGTCAAGTGCATGTGTATCTTGCTGGTACATGTGTATCATGCTGGTGCGTGTATATCATGTCAGGTGCGTGTGTATCATGTCAGGTGCGTGTGTATCATGTCAGGTGCGTGTGTATCATGTCAGGTGCGTGTGTATCATGTCAGGTGCATGTGTATCATGTCAGGTGCGTATGTATCATGTCAGGTGCATGTGTATCATGTCAGGTGCATGTGTATCAAGTCAAGTGCATGTGTATCATGTCAGGTGCATGTGTACCATGCTGCTGCATGTGGATCATGTCAAATGCCTGTGTATCATGCCAGGTGCATGTGTATCATGTCAAGTGCATGTGTATCATGTCAGGTGCATGGGTATCATGCTGGTGCGTGTATATCATGTCAGGTGCGTGTGTATCATGTCAGGTGCATGTGTACCATGCTGCTGCATGTGTATCATGTCAAGTGCATGTGTATCATGTTAGGTGCATGTGTATCATTTCAAGTGCATGTGTATCATGTCAGGGGCAGGTGTATCATGCTGGTGCGTGTATATCATGTCAGGTGCGTGTGTATCATGTCAGGTGCGTGTGTATCATGTCAGGTGCGTGTTTATCATGTCAGGTGCATGTGTATCATGCTGGTGCGTGTATATCATGTCAGGTGCGTGTGTATCATGTCAGGTTCGTGTGTATCATGCTGGTGCGTGTGTATCATGTCAGGTGCGTGTGTATCATGTCAGGTGCGTGTGTATCATGCTGGTGCATGTGTACCATGTCAAGTGCATGTGTATCATGTCAGGTGCATGTGTATCATGTCAAGTGCATGTGTATCATGTCAGGTGCATGTGTATCATGCTGCTGCATGTGTATCATGCTGCTGCATGTGTATCATGCTGCTGCATGTGTATCATGTCAAGTGCATGTGTATCATGTCAGGT